TATATATACCTCGCCGGGTGTTACGTTAGCTGGCTGAGTGCCATTGAGGGTCGTGGGCGATGAAGTCGCCCCCAGTCAGTGATGTATTTAACCAAGTAAGGTTATATCTAATCTATTATATATACTTCTGGAAGCGAAGGCTTGCTCGGGGTCCGGGTGGCGTAACTGGTAGCGCACCGCACGGTAAGCGGAGGTTGCGGGTTCGAGCCCCGTCCCGGGCCAGTTCTTTTATTCCAGAAGGTTCTAAATTTAATTTAATTTAATTAATTATATTTATTTAATTATTAATTTAGTTACGAGATGGCGCCTAACGCTTACCTCTTAAGACAAATTGCTTTGGTTCTAATCATTTTAAGTAGCCATATTATAGCCCGTTATTCAGGCGATCGTTTGGAAGTTTTATATGTATACCAATCGGGCTTTATGTTGATGTTATTTATATATATATACCTCGCCGGGTGTTACGTTAGCTGGCTGAGTGCCATTGAGGGTCGTGGGCGATGAAGTCGCCCCCAGTCAGTGATGTATTTAACCAAGTAAGGTTATATCTAATCTAATATACCTCTGGAAGCAAAGGCTTGCTCGGGGTCCGGGTGGCATAACTGATAGCGCACCGCACGGCAAGCGGAGGTTGCGGGTTCAAGCCCCGTCCTGGGCCAGTTCTTTTATTCCAGAAGGTTCTAAATTTAATTTAATTATTTATTTATTTAATTTTAATTATTAATTTACTTACGAGATGGTGCCTAACGCCTACCTCTTATTACAAATTGCTTTATTTCTAATCATTTAAGTAGCCATATAATAGCCCGATATTTAGGCGATCGTTTGGCAATTTAGTATATAATTACTCAGTAAAAGAGATCACTAGCTTGCAAATTCTATATTGTGTAAATCAAAATTGGGGTACCTTTTTTTTAATCAGAACATCACTCATAAGACAGCACATTATATTGCAAGTTAAACAGATGCAAACCTTCAGCACATATACATAATCTCACAAGAAATCATATAATTAATTAAATGAAACAATAAAAAATATCATACTACTTGCTCATAAATTACTTCTTTTAGTTAATTTATTTGAAAAGGAATGAAAAACAAACATGCAAAAACTTGTTTCTTTGTTATACATTTTATATATTATCAGGATGCAACAGAAGTAGCAAAAAAGGCTTCAGTTCACACCTCTGATCTATCTTTCAGGGTTCTATGATTCAGGGTTCACACCTCTGATCTATCTTTTCCAAGAAAATCATTTTATTCATTTTTATAATTCTAAAAACAAATAAAAAAAATTTCATTATCTTTGTTCTTCATATACAGTAATACCCCGAACTTACGTGATAGGTGGGACCAAGCAATAACCGTGTAAGTCGAATTCGCATAAGTCAGGGTATAATTTCCCAATTTGTGTAAAATCCAAGTCGGATGTATTTAAGCTAATAAATGTTCTCATTAATCTTATCTCATCTTTTGATTCATTCATGGTTACAAGAAATCACCACATAGAGTCTCTCAAGTCTCCGTAGATATAACAAACACAGAAATAAATAACACAAAATAAATTGTAGCTATGTATTGATTCTGCACAACATGTCTGAACATGTAAGCTGAACAATAGTGCGGGGGGAGTGAGTAATCAACAGTTGCATGGCGCTCAAACAAAAGACGAATTGACGAGATTTGAAAATCACATAACTCTGGTTTCACATAAGTCAGGGTGGCATAAGTCGAGGTATTACTGTATTTAGAATATATTCCCTCAGAGCCCAAAATAAACTGCTTCTAGTTACCTCAACTTTCATAAAAAGATAATCTTAAGTTTTCAAACTTTATTTGACATATATGAACCTTTAATATAAAATCACCAATAATAAAATATCTATTTAGGTTAAAGTTTAAACTTCTGAATCAAAACAAAAAATTTTTTCAAAATACCGTATTTACTCAGGTATAAGATGATCTCGCGTATAGGAGGTGTGACTTTAGAGATCAAAATAAAGAAAATTAGATTTATTAATACTATTCTAATTTTATTTTGTTTAATCACAAAATATTATCAAATGCATGTATTAAGGCAGTGGTTCTCAACTTTTTTTGTTGATGTACCCCATTAGCTCATTAGTTGTTTCTCAAGTACCCCTTATATTTTTGTATGTAAATTTCATAATTACTGGATTAGATGTATACAGCCCTTATACATCTAATGCAGTAATGGTTATAACTAAGTACCATAAAAAAGCTCTAACTAACTATAACTAAAAATGAATTACTTATTTTACGTAAATAGTAATAAATTTAATCAAATACATACAATTATTTATTATTATTTGATAAGTATATTATATAAAATCACAGAATACTTGCATAAATTACATTTCCTAAAAATAAATAATTATAATTAATGATAAAGAAAATTTAAATTATTATTATTAAACAATAATTTCTAACAAAATTTAATGGGATATCTGTTGCGATAAATCTTCAGCAATTTTTCCAAAATTTGGTTCCCACGTTTTTAAATAGAGATTATAATTGTGTACTTACAATGTAATGGTTGCGAATTTATAATGTGCAGAACAATAAATGAATCTTTCAATTTTTGTAACAAATGTAATGTCTAAATTTGCTAATATCAAGTAATGCACAGATGCAGTGACATGCATCGCATGGTAGGGGTACGATCCAGGCCTCATTATTCCTAATACCAGTAGTCCAGTAAAAACATGAAAAGCCCCAATCTCATTGAACAATAATTATAGAAGAGAATAAAAAAATTTTTTCTATTCTAACATTAATGCTCAGTTAAACCATAATTTTACTAGACTACAGGTTCACTCAGCACTAACGGCACAAATTTTCGAGCAAATCAAGTGGATAAACAAATTGTTTGGACTGTTAAAAGGGAAATCAATGTTCATACTGGGATATTTTAAAGCAAGTTTTTGTCGTTTCTTGTTTCTTGTGTTAATAATTTACAGCAGGTTGATTAACATACGTCATTTTATAGTGAAAGTTAGATGTACCCCTTCGATTTACGCTCGTACCCATGGTTGTTTGCCTTAACTGTATTAAGGCAAACAACCATGTTTGTCTTAATACGTGATGAATGGAAAATGAAACCAAAACATTACAGTGCGCGTGACTGGAAAAAGTTTATTTTTAATGATAAATTATTTTTAATGATATTTAAATATGCTAATATTCATTAAAAATAACAATTTAACCAATATAAAATAACTACATTTATAATCATTGCTAAGTGACCTGTATTTCATTAATATTTTTATAAATAACGAGAAAGAAAAACTATTTTCTGCAAATGAATAAGATGCAATGCTGTTTTTAATTGATGGATGTAAAGTTAAACCAATAAACAAAGGGGTGTGTGTCTTAATTTGTTTACAGTAGATGCTAACTAACAATAGACTGTAGACCTATAATGACAGCATATAGTATACATGGTTCACAGAAATTATTGCAAAAATGCAAAAAATCCTTCGTTTGCACGTATAGGACGACCTAGGTTTTTGAAACAATGAAAAATTAATAAAAACCTCGTCTTAAATGCGAATAAATATAGTACTTCACAGAAAATGAAAATATTTTCATTTATAATATTGAAATATTTAAAAGTTATGAAAACAAAGATATTATTACTTTTTACATCATTGGTGTTTCTGAAAAATAATGCTTTAGTTAAAATTTATTACAAGAATACGCATAAAACCTTACAAAAAGTAAATTATTGTATTTTCATAAAATTCAATTTGAAAACTTTCTTTTTGAACTGTTATGTTCAAAATATATTTAATACTTTAATACTTTCTTTATATTTATATTTAATATATATAAACAATAAAACCAGGATACAAAATTACTAAAATATTTGAAGATAGACACAAGAAGAACAAAAAACATTTTCTGAATTCTTCAAATTCTCCTTTTCATACTTTCAGAACACAATTGACCTTTATTAAGCTCTGTCTAAGCTTTGCATACTTAGGTAGAACTTAATAAGCTCTGCCTAAATATATAAAATTCTCAAAAAGTTTCTGGAAATAGTATAAAGAAAAACTTTTTGTAAATAATGAAACAATGATGCAGAAAGTAATAATATGAAAAGTTCATAAAATAATTTATATAAAAGTAAAATAACTAATTTTTTGTTTATTTTAAAAAATTCTATATTCATTTTTCTATTCTCCTAATTATCTAATTTTTCAGTTTATATTTATTTACATAAAATAATTCAAATAAAGAATTACAAAATATATATCTATTTTATGTCTTCCGTTACTATATTAATTTGTTATCTTAATATAAAACTCCCTAAAAGCATAGAAAAATTGAAATTTGATTTTCTTACCTCCTGTAGCTAACAGATCATCAATTATTACAACTTTCTTAATATTTGTAAAAGCATTCACTTGCAATTCAAGAGAATCCTAAAATATAAAGAAAATGAAATAAATTATATTAATAAATAATTATTTCAATATTCTATATACACTTTACAATGTGTTGCATAGGTTTGCTTTCTATAAATACTGATGACTCACTTTGATTTTTACTTTATGAATGATGAAGTATGCTTGAGATTTTTATATATGCTTATGCAAATGTTTAAAAATCAAAATAATTTTTGTTTCATTTTGCAATTAATTAATGAACATGGAGCAATTAATTAATTCAAGTGTATGTATATATATACTTGCATATTTAAAACTTGAAATTAAAAATTGAAATAAAATGCTATACAAAGAAAATTAAAAATTATTTTTAAAATTAAATATCATAAACAGATATATTTTGTCAAATAAATCTTTGTTCTCCTATAAATTCTGACCAGTATTCTCACATAATTCTGATGTATTACATCAAATCTAAGATGCACCCTACTTTTAGAGATACTAAAACCTGAAAAAAGTGCATCTTACATTTGAGTAAATATATATACAAGTAATGCTTGATTAATGTACAATTTACATCTGTATTAATTCTGGATTTTGTACTACATCAGTGGGTCCTTAATCAGAGGTCCACAAACTTCCAAGACGACTACGGGCTTGGAAGAGTAAAAATCAAGTGATTACCTTAATTTTGTATTATTGTGTTAAGAAAGAAGCATATATATTTGTAAAGTAGTGACCTTTTAGCAGAGTGGGAACAAAAGAGGCGCAACCTTGTCAATTGGACTCACATGAGGTCGGGTAATACCACTTGTAAGGTATTGACTTGTAAACAAGGAGAAACAAAGGAAGTGCCAGCTTTGTTAATTGGACCCACCTGCAGTCAGATGTTAGTACATTTGCCATATGGTAAACAAATGAACGTAAACAAGTGGCGGACGTTTGTGTAAGCACCACTCTTGTCGGATGACGGCGGACCCGAGTGTAAGCTGTTCGAGCATAAAAAAGGGTTGTGATTGGTCGGAAGTCCCCGGTCCAAAAACCCTTAAATTGCGGGCCGAACGAGAGAGGAGAAGAGAAGGGCAAGAGACTGGTACACAGTAGTCTCAGGCATTTGGAAGGCCCACTGAGCGTAGAGAGAGTGTTCTCCTCTGTTAATCATCTCAGGGATGGGTTAGTGCAGAGACCAGACCGACCGTGCAGTTGAGCCAACTCCACAAGCTGACTGAGGTCTCTCCAAAGGTTATTATTAATTTCCAGACGCCAATCTGGCATGTGAGTCACCACGCATGGTTATCCTGTACATATACTATGTTTTCTAACTTGTACTTTCTACTACTGTAAATAAACTGTAAATATATTCAATTTGAGTGTGGAGGTGTGCTTTCCAACAAACCTGATTCACTACATCGAGGCGTGATACACAGGAAACCAACTCAACGAGACGGAGTTGGGAAAGAACATTCACAAAGATCTTCACTATATTATTATATGTTTTTTACTTTAATGACTATTTCTATATAAGTGGTTTCTTTTGAAATTTTATTTTATGCATTTAAAAACATTATTTCAAGAAGAGGTCTGTGACCTCCACCTGCTGGAAAAGGAGTTTATGGAACAAAACAGGTTAACCCTTCATTAACATATGATGATGATAATGATTCAGTATATAGATCAGGGTTGCAACTAGGAGGCAAACAGGGCATGTGCCCTGGACACTAGTTAAAATAATTTCCAAGAAGAGAGGGTGTGTCAGAAGGAAGGCAGAACAGAGGCTGAATAAATTGACTTATCAGGTAACAAAGTCTAGTTACACTCTTGCATAGATGAAAAAATGTTAATATTGAATGTAGCATTCATAAGACAACAGGCTTATAACTCATCATTTTTGATCTGAACAAAGAACAAGAGTCAAAACAATCCCAAATTTATAGATTGGACTTAAAAATGTATCCAACCATTATGATATATTCTTATGGGATATAATTTTTATTTAATGTGTTTTTACATGACATATTACTTTCAAGGAACATATGTACTATATTAACTCAGTTGATTTAGAATAGTATTCCAAACTTACATTGTTAAACATTTTCAAGATATGTTTTGGAATAATAATAACTAAATAAATTTATTTTAGAATATTTTCAAAATATTAAGTAATGAAAATTTATAATAATCAAAAAATTTATTTTATACAGTCTGGATGTACTCAGCAGAAATAAATTACAAACTTACTATCACATCTGTGCATTTGCTGAGAGAATATTTTTATTAACAAATATTTTCAGTCTACTCCCACAGGCCATCATCAGGTTTTAAAAAACCTTGACTATAAAACATGATGATGGCTAATGGTAGTGGGCTGAAAATGTTTGTTAAAAATATTCTCTCAGCAAATGCACAGAGTTTGCAATTTATTTTATATTTTAATCAGACACTTAAAATTTTCTAGTTGCAGGTGTTTAGCTAGTGGTTTGTTGGTGAATCTGGTAACTCTATTATGGAGTTTGTCTAAATATCCTTTTTCTATTGTTCGGCATTCTGTAGAACCGCTGTATTCTTCGAGCAACTTAGTGTATGTATGTTTCTTCATAAGAACAATGTTTCTGCTTTTATCCACTCTGATAAGGGTTATTTCGTTAGCTTGGAGCCATTCTTTACTTTTACTTACGTTTCTCCAAAATTCTTTATCCATGTTGCTGAGAACCATGTTCCACCTAAAGAAATCCTTATGCTGAGCCTTAATTGGCACAAGCAGCTTTTTGATGTTCGGAATAATGGTATGCGCTGAGATCTTCGAGGGCTCGGAGCAAACAGAGGTCCAAATTTGAATACCTGAACCAATTCCTCCGGTGGTTTAATATTGTCCCAGCAGACTATCAGATTTCTTAGCTTGTTTTTGCGTGGCTTCTTTTGGTTTTTCACGATCCAAACCATTTTTTTGGCATACCTATTGCGAAGTGATTGTTGGACCTGTTCCTGCAAGCTTATAACCCTAGAGTTGACGAACCCCAGCAGGTCCGGGTCTGTATTAAATAGTGTGTTCTCAAGATTGATTAATTTGTGTAGGTTAGCATACATAGACTTCTTGGTGTTCCAAATTGCTTTTCTAAGGCAGACAAATTTGACTTTTGGGAGCAGTGAAGAGCAGCCCGTCAGTAAACTGAGCCTGTGGATTGACATTGGAAATACCTTGTTCTGTTTGCAGTCCCACAAGAAGTTAAGTTTTTCTCTGGTTCTTGTTAAAGCTAAGACGTTCTTTCTGTACAACTTGGCTGGCGATGCCATGTTTACACTTCTATGCATTTGGAGCTAGACCTATTTTAAGATGCCCAAGACAAAACCTTTCTCACTTGTTTCTAGCAATTTATACACGAGTATAAACGTCATGAACTAGATGCACACCTTTCATTTTTACCAAAAGAAAAAATTTAATGCCCTTAGTATCGTCTAAACCTTATCATCAACAATGATGACACTGGTAAGACGATACATATGTAAACATTGACACTGTTTGAATTTCTACCAACCGACACTCTAACAGACCACAGTGTACCTGAAGAAGGCCTATTAAGAAGGCCGAAAACATTTGTACTCATGTATAAATGGGTAGAAACAAGTGAGAAAGGTTTTGTCTTGGGCATCTTAAAATAGGTCTAGCTCCAAATGCATAGAAGTGTAAACATGGCGTCTCCAGCCAAGTTGTACAGAAAGAACGTCTTAGCTTTAACAAGAACCAGAGAAAAACTTAACTTCTTGTGGGACTGCAAACAGAACAAGGTATTTCCAATGTCAATCCACAGGCTCAGTTTACTGACGGGCTGCTCTTCACTGCTCCCAAAAGTCAAATTTGTCTGCCTTAGAAAAGCAATTTGGAACACCAAGAAGTCTATGTATGCTAACCTACACAAATTAATCAATCTTGAGAACACACTATTTAATACAGACCCGGACCTGCTGGGGTTCGTCAACTCTAGGGTTATAAGCTTGCAGGAACAGGTCCAACAATCACTTCGCAATAGGTATGCCAAAAAAATGGTTTGGATCGTGAAAAACCAAAAGAAGCCACGCAAAAACAAGCTAAGAAATCTGATAGTCTGCTGGGACAATATTAAACCACCGGAGGAATTGGTTCAGGTATTCAAATTTGGACCTCTGTTTGCTCCGAGCCCTCGAAGATCTCAGCGCATACCATTATTCCAAACATCAAAAAGCTGCTTGTGCCAATTAAGGCTCAGCATAAGGATTTCTTTAGGTGGAACATGGTTCTCAGCAAAAAAAATCAAAGAAATTGACAACATGGATAAAGAATTTTGGAGAAACGTAAGTAAAAGTAAAGAATGGCTCCAAGCTAACGAAATAACCCTTACCAGAGTGGATAAAAGCAGAAACGTTGTTCTTATGAAGAAACATACATACACTAAGTTGCTCGAAGAATACAGCGGTTCTACAGAATGCCGAACAATAGAAGAAGGATATTTAGACAAACTCCATAATAGAGTTACCAGATTCACCAACTCACCATTTAAAATTGTTCTAATGATGAATTTTGAGTTCTGAAAACATTTAAGAATGAATTAAGTTTATAATATTGCTATAAAGATTAACAGACTAACAGCACAAAACCTTTCTCACTAATTTCTAGCCTTATTAACTAAGTAATAAATCTACAACTCAGTTATAGCATAAAAACTGTAATAAATTTTATCTTACCATGCCATATTCTAAAGAATAATCTACTTTTTTAACTTCACCTGGGAGTTTTCCACTTTTACGGATTGGTAAAAAAGGCACTTTTAATTTTAATGCAATTATTGGTGCTATTAAAAATCCTCTCGATTCTAATCCTACAATACCATTCACATCTGGTATATTTCTTTTGATATGATCACATAATACATCTATTAGATCCTCAAATAATTCTGGCTTCTGTAATATTGGAAACAAATCTCTGAAATAAAAATGCAAAAATATATATATTAAACATATAATGACATTTATAATAAACAGTAATATTTGATAAATGAAAAGGTTATTTTATGATAATTCTACAAACTTTGCTCTTAGATACTTCTGATATCAAAGTTCAAAATTAATTTTGAAATCATATCAAACATATCTTGTATTAAACATTTAAATTGCTTAACTCCTCATCTTTCAAAAAACAAACAATCATTTTTTGAATTGATTAATGCACGGTATTAACTTCAGCAAGTATGTAATTATTATCCAGTTATTTTGGATATTAGGCTAATAATTAATATTATTATCAATAATAATAATCAATATTCAGTTGTTCTTAATTGGTTGTAATAATTAAATGCAGAATCTGGTATTTTATACATTTTTATGAAATATATGTTTTTTCCTTAAATTGCATAATATAGATTCCTAGGAATCATTATTTAAATAAAACAATAGTCAATAAAATTGGAGATTTGTGAAAATTATAAGTAAAATGTATATATGTTACTGTCCAAACTAGTTTGTCCTAATCCGAACTGATTTAGAATTATTATTTAAGTCAGGCCTAGCCAACCCAAATTGTTTCGTGGGCCACTTTGATCATGTGTGACATTACAATGGGCCACAATTTAGGAAAACATGCTTCTAAAAAAGTAAAACAAATACAAAATGAATAAGATTTCATTGTTATACCAAGAGTTCGTACTCGCACTTGCACATTATAACAATGACACATACAAATTTTCATTTATTTAATTGTTTTGGTATACACAAAACAGAAAACGAAAGTTTTAGTAGATANGTCCATCTCCCATGTTTAACGGAATAATATACAGCCTATGTACACCCTGAAGTTCCATTCTAAATATAGGTGAAAAAATTTTTGAAATCGGATGAGTAGTTTCGGAGATTACCTGCTGCATATAAACTTACATACATACTTACAAACATTACCTCTTTATAATATTAGTATAGATTAAAATATTCATTAGTTTATTATTACAAAATATTAGACTACATTGTTGAATATTGTGCTGTTAAATATGCATACTATGAATTGATTTAACACAATATTCATAAAAATTCTCCTGTGAAAGAAAATGTGATTTTTTTTATGTACTTTAGTGTGTTGAATATGAATACGAAGTCCAAAATCTTCTATTACCCATAGTTCTTTTTCAAAATAATACTTTTTGCAGGAAAATGCCCCTTTTAGACAAACTTTCTGTTATTGTTTGAATAAAATATAAAACCAGAGAAATCATATTTGCTTAATGTAATAAATCATAAGATGTAGTACTGGACTCTCCTGGGTCAAGTGCTACATCTTATTAGACCACAGGTGTCAGTTATCAGGTTTCAGGTTGTCCCATTCACACAGAAGTGGAGGTGTGGCTTGCCAGCTAGGTAAGATCCAGCAGAAATCCAAATAATTCAGTCTTGGACTCATAACACACTCTCTGACTCAACATGTCACACATACAAAACCAGCCAGAATATTTCTGCTACATTTGTGAACTGACTATGAATGGACAATAAAAATCACTAATGCCTCTAGTAAAGAAAGCATACCATCATTATTTCAGCTGTAAGTTGGGAGATCAAGACAAATCTGGGCTCCTAAAATACAATGTAAGTAATCATGCATACAGACACTGACTGGATGGTTGAAGAGCACACATAAATCAATGTCTTTTGCTGTCCCTATAATCTGGTACCTCAGAATCACATCAATGATTGTCCTGTTACAAAAAAAGAGAATCACAAAATGTGAAATTTTTCTCAATGGAGGACAATCCCATTTTTTGCCATGATATACTGCATTTGTTGGAGGAGCTTCAGCTGCCACAGGATCATGCAGAGTGGCGACTCATTGACTGAAAGTTTAAAGGAGTTCTGCTACACAATGGCAACAAACATCTGTCTGTTCTGGTTATTCATGGTGTTCACATGAAAGAAACTTACAACATGAAGGTAATGTTGGATAAGATAAAACACAATTAGCATAAGTGGAATGTGTGTGCTGACCTCAAAATTGTTGCAATGCTAACATGTCTTCAAGGATAAATTTAAGTTTTTTGTGTGAATGGGACAGTTGAGCAAGAACCAGTCACTACTTGGTAAAAAAGTGGCCTGATCACACTGCAAATCTACTAGGTCAGAAAAATATTGCTTTTCCTGCTCTGGTGGAGAAAATTAAAATCTCTTGTCTCCTCTTCATATCAATTTCAGTTTGATAAAAAAAATTTTGTGAAAGGTATGGACAGAGCAGCAGAAGGCTTTGCTTACCTGAAACAAAAGTTTTCTCATCTGAGCCATGCAAAAATAAAGGAGGGAATTTTTATTGGTCCCCAAGTAAGACAGTTTTGAAGGATCCTAGTTTCAAAGAAAAACTTAACCCAGTGGAAAGGACAGCATGGGACATTCAAAAATATGAGCAAGAATTTTTGGGGGAATGTGTGAACTAACAACTATGAGGAAATTGTGGAGAAATTGGTAACATCCTACTAAACATAATTTGTCACTCAACATGCATTTCCTGCATTCCTGTTTAGACTTATTTCATGCCAACCTAGGAGCTGTTTCTGATGAACATGGAGTAAGGTTCCATTAGATTCTTTCTCAAATGGAAAAGTGATGCAGCAGAAGATGGAACAAGAATATGTTAGTGGATTACTGCTGGACTCTACAATAACAGACTTTAGAAGAATATAAAAAGAAGAAAACATGTTTCAGTTTGTAATGTATAGAATTATGAAAAAGGAAAAATTGATATATATTCATTTGTATCTAATTAGCAATGTTTGTAGCCAATCTTCTTCTTTCCTAGCATTTGTCCTGCATTGGGGCAGGATCCTATTGTTTACATGCACTCCTCCATTTTACCCAATCTAACACATCTTTTGGTGGAATTTCCATTGTTCCCATATCATCTGATTTGGACAAGCCACTGTTTTTTTGGGACATCCACGAGGTCTAGTTCTCCCTGGGTCATGGCTTTTTGCCTTTGAGTTGTCATCACTGCATATAACATGTCCATACCAGTGCAATTAAGCTTCTTGCACATTGTCTATAATTGGCCTAACTGCTAGTTCTTTTCTGATGTCATCATTCATTATGTGGTCAAATTGCATAAGACCCAATAGCCATCTTAACATTTTCATTTCCATAGCATGCAGTGCCTGTTCATGCTTCTTTGTGACAGGCTTCCATTCCGATTCATAATTGCTAATACATTGCTAGTGTTCAGACAACTGACTTATAAATTTTTGCCCTAAGATGTATTGACATCTTTTTATTGCCAAGTAATCCAGTTACCTTTCATTTCATCCAGAAAGCATTGACGTTTGCATGAATGTGTAGTGTTATTTCCCCATCTGATGAGGTAAGAAAGCCTATATATTTGAATTTCATAGTTTTTATAATTTCTTGGTCATCTATTAGGATTTTTCCATTTGTCTATGTGCTACATTCTAAATATTAAGTTTCATGGATGTTTAATTGCAAGACATCTTTGCTAAGGCAGTCTTTCCAGCCTTGTGCTTGGTTTTCAAGGTTTTTGATTCTAGTCTGCAATGAAAACATTATCTGGATGTTGTCCATGGGTGATGTGTTTAGTTATCTACTGATACAGTAGGCACAGAATAAATAGTAAGGGTGACAATGCCAATCCTGATGCATCCCCCAGTTATTGGAAAAGGACCACAAAGTGTTGTGGTATAAAAGCCAAGCTCATTTCACATAAGCTTTGGGTACATTGTATGCTCAGAGTGCTTTCCAAATGAGCTTGTGCGGTACTTTGTCAAGTGCTTTTTTCCAGATCCAGAAAAGTATGTAGCCAATAAAAATGATATTTTGAACAGAAAATGTTTTCTATCAAAAATCTCATTTCTTTCAAAAAGTGGTGAGTTTTAGGCCAATTCTGCTAACAGATTTGGATTCATCATCATTGAAACTAAAAAAGTCAGTGAAAATATTTGACAAGAGTGGAAATAAATTTCTTTTGCAGAACAATGCAACCCATTGAAAATGTTATAAATATATTGAAATATTTTCATTAAAAACATTTTCTCAAATGATTAATTAAATTACTTTTCTGAGAAATATATTATTAAAGAATATCCGGTTTTGGTATAATTTACTTAAAATCACTGATTCATACGATTTGAATAAAATTTACCTGAAAACGATTCCTTTCTTCGGAAAGTCCGGATAATTTCCGATTGCATTTTTAATTCTTTCCACTTTACTTCCAATTGACATTTGCAAAATTAAAAAAAAAAATCTAACCACAAATCAGTTCAGAAAATACGAAATAACAGCGATGATAAACACGATTGCGGATGTAATCTATAAACAAACGTATCGAGCATCACGTGAAAAACTTTATATGAAAAACCACGTGAGCCATCCTCAGCAAACCGCTGAAGGCCAACAGGTTGCCAGATCAAATTTTTAGTTAGCTATAAATTTAGTTACAAATAAAAAAAAATACAGTATATATATTTTTAATTTTAAAGAAATGATTTTTATTTACATAAATGCACTAAAAGGCAAAAATAATGTTTTTTCAGCTTTCACTGTATTCTTAAAAAATATGTATATATATCAACTCTTTCCGTCATGTAGACACTAAGAGAACCTCTTTTTAGGCCCATTATGGGTTCGGCCAGGCCCACAATGGGGCGGCCGGGAGGTGAGAGACGGGACCCAACATATCCGGACGGCCCACCCCCAAAAAAATTCCTGGGAATTATTCGACCCGTCTGGATTCGAGGCTGCCACCTCGACCTCTCGGCTCTCTGGCCGCCTATTCCTGATATTATGCGACCAAAAAATAAAAGCGTGGTTTAGAAATAATCTTACGAGTTAGTTACACTTTCTATCAATTTTTACGGGATTTCCGTGCGCTTTTATTTTTGGTCGCATGATATCAAGAATATAGTGAAAGCTGAAAAAATATATATATTATTTTTACCTTTTAGTGCATTTACGTGAATAAAAAGCATTTCTTTAAATAATTTTTATTTTTTATTTTTATAAATGTAACACTGACTTATTGAAATTTTTCGTGGTTTAAGCATTTACTGTAATTGGGCTGCAACTTGAAAAAATTAAAGACCTATAAATTCCCATTGTCTTCCGTCTGTCTTTCCTTAATCTCGAGAACGGAGTTAGTTAGATGAAAGACGTAACCAGATACGGAAACCTTAAGGGCAGGAGGCCCGATTTATATACGAACTTTCCGATGCAAACAGGAAGTCACGTGATTTCAATTCAAAAATTTTCCCTTGAAACATGTTAGATAGGTGACCGGCATGACTATTCGCATTTTTCACCGGATGCTCGCCCTCTGGTGTTTGAAAACAAAACTATTTTATCTAGGTTGTTTGATTCATTCTTGTGTATTATCAGCAGTAAAGATGAATAGCAATAGAAAAAGCAAAGCTTTCTGTTGCGTTCCAAATTGCAATTTCAAAGCCCTAGGGAGCCTAACATAAGTTTTCGTCTATTCCGACATGAAAAACAGATGATTATTCGGAAATCGGTCGGTTATATTTATGAGCTTCTCTGAATTCTGAGAGTGGATTAGAGTCTAATCCAGTCCCCAACCTTTTGATCGCCGCGGACCGGCCAACGTTTGATAATTTTANAAAGAAATGATTTTTATTTACATAAATGCACTAAAAGGCAAAAATAATGTTTTTTCAGCTTTCACTGTATTCTTAAAAAATATGTATATATATCAACTCTTTCCGTCATGTAGACACTAAGAGAACCTCTTTTTAGGCCCATTATGGGTTCGGCCAGGCCCACAATGGGGCGGCCGGGAGGTGAGAGACGGGACCCAACATATCCGGACGGCCCACCCCCAAAAAAATTCCTGGGAATTATTCGACCCGTCTGGATTCGAGGCTGCCACCTCGACCTCTCGGCTCTCTGGCCGCCTATTCCTGATATTATGCGACCAAAAAATAAAAGCGTGGTTTAGAAATAATCTTACGAGTTAGTTACACTTTCTATCAATTTTTACGGGATTTCCGTGCGCTTTTATTTTTGGTCGCATGATATCAAGAATATAGTGAAAGCTGAAAAAATATATATATTATTTTTACCTTTTAGTGCATTTACGTGAATAAAAAGCGTTTCTTTAAATAATTTTTATTTTTTATTTTTATAAATGTAACACTGACTTATTGAAATTTTTCGTGGTTTAAGCATTTACTGTAATTGGGCTGCAACTTGAAAAAATTAAAGACCTATAAATTCCCATTGTCTTCCGTCTGTCTTTCCTTAATCTCGAGAACGGAGTTAGTTAGATGAAAGACGTAACCAGATACGGAAACCTTAAGGGCAGGAGGCCCGATTTATATACGAACTTTCCGATGCAAACAGGAAGTCACGTGATTTCAATTCAAAAATTTTCCCTTGAAACATGTTAGATAGGTGACCGGCATGACTATTCGCATTTTTCACCGGATGCTCGCCCTCTGGTGTTTGAAAACAAAACTATTTTATCTAGGTTGTTTGATTCATTCTTGTGTATTATCAGCAGTAAAGATGAATAGCAATAGAAAAAGCAAAGCTTTCTGTTGCGTTCCAAATTGCAATTTCAAAGCCCTAGGGAGCCTAACATAAGTTTTCGTCTATTCCGACATGAAAAACAGATGATTATTCGGAAATCGGTCGGTTATATTTATGAGCTTCTCTGAATTCTGAGAGTGGATTAGAGTCTAATCCAGTCCCCAACCTTTTGATCGCCGCGGACCGGCCAACGTTTGATAATTTTATCGCGGCCCACTGAGGGGGGCGTTGATTGTTTATATTTTAGATTAATTTAATTTAATAATTTTAATTTAATTGTATTTAAAAATGCCTTCAAAGTAATATACAGTTACACCAAAAAATGAATATTATGTGATTTAAAATTATAACTCACTAGAACGCTAAATCAATGAGAACCCTGAGCTTGTTTCTTTGCAACGAGACGTTTCCATCTGGGGGTAATAGGAGACAATGACACCCGAAGTGTGTTTCTTATGTCCAGTTTATTTTGTTGTTCCGTCGTCCATTAAAAGTCGCACAAATCTGAGGAAATACCATAGTAAATAAAATGGAAATAATTTAATATTCCTTGGGCGGCCTGGTACCATTTGATCCACGGACCGGTACCGGTCCGCGGCCCGGGGGTTGGGGACCACTGGATTAGACTGTTAAGAATGGGCGATTTCCCGATTGTCCAGCTTTACATAAACAATTGTCCATTTTAAAAGGTATTTTCTTAACGTTTAAGGCCCTGTACACACTAGGCGTTTTTCAACGCGCGTTTAACGCGCGTTTTAAAGAACCAAGAGTTCTATGTAGCCGTACACACTCAAACGCCAAGCGCGCGTTAAACGCGCGTTTATAGATTTTTGTTAAAACGCGCGTTTTGCGGGCACTTTATGGGCGCTTTGAGATATATGTGCTGCCTTATAGCGACGATGGAGGAGCACACACAATCAATTACTTTCTCGTCCATTTCCAAACTGAGCCAGTGCTAAACGCCAAACTAATGCTCGTCGAACGCCGAGCTAACGCGCGTTAGCTCGGCGTTAAACGCGCGTTGAAAAACGCCTAGTGTGTACAGGGCCTTAAAATGCCAGTAATTTTGTGTGGGACACAGGGTCAGATTTAAGCATTTCAAAACCCTAAGCTGAACTCTGTAATGTTCCTTACCAACCCTTCACAATTTTAGAAGTCAATCATAAAAAGAAAAGAATTAAATCAGACTATCTGATTCAATAAGGTTATTGGAAGAAAAAGATGCAAGGTTTTCACTATTTATTTAACTTTTTATACTCATTCCATTAAAAATCTTTTTGTAAATTGGTTTTATCAATTTTTTTAAAGACCATAAGTTAATTCTTAGAAAAAATTAATGAAATACTACACAAAATAAAAAGAAAAGTATATTGTTGGTTAGTAAAAAAAATAAATGTTTATTACAAAATTTGACTTCAATTTTTTTTTTGTAGAAATGTTTGAGGCTCCTTGAAAGTCGAAGCCCTAAGCAACAATTTACATAGCTTTTGTAAAGCCAGCCTAGATATGACAATGTCAAAGCTGACGTTTTTAACACAAAGGGCACAAATATGTATAGAAAGATCTCTCTCACTTGTATCGTTACCACATAATGACATGTCCCGCTAGCAATAATTGTTCTTCTTCTATAAAATTTCTCGATAAACAGCTACAAGCAACATATATCATTATATCGGATAGTAATATATGATCGGATAGTAATATATGATTAATTTTACATTACTAGTTGCAAGCGACCCACATAAAGTAGCCATTTTGTAAAAATGCAGCGCCCTCTATAGTTCATGAAAAACGCGAATTGCTAAAGGCAAATAGCTTATACGAACTATTTGCTAAAGGAAAAGTATGCTGTACCGGTACAAGGGCAAAACATCAAGTACTAACTTGAGGTGGAGAGTATATATTTAAAGTGAAATAAATTAAAAATTGCAGCCCGGTAGTGTGACGATACCACAAAATTGCTCGTTTCCTGTTGGAATGTAACAGAGTAAATGGCTGTATACTTTGGAAGTGGACAGTATAATTAAAAAAGAAGAGTGTTATGCTGAAGATGATTTGTGACGTTAAATTGTTAAAGAACAGGACTGAAACAGAAGATAACTTGATAGATTATATTCGAGAAATAAAAGCTCAACATGGCCATACTATGAAAAGTCTTTTCATAGTATGGCCATGTTGAGCTTTTATTTCTCGAATATAATCTATATGATGCTGGATAACAGTGGCGAATTCAGTTCAAATAATTTTAAATAATTTGTTAAACATAATGGCATACTACGAGCTACATTCCACAGATGGAGGAAAGGCTGAATGCATGAATAAGGCTGCGTACACACTAGGCATTTTTAAACGGGCGTTTAAAAACGCGCGTTTGACGAATCAAGAGTTCTGCATAGGCGTACACACTCAAACACACGCTTTTGGCCAAGCGCGCGTTTATAGATTTTTCTTAAAACGCGCGTTTTGCGGGTGTCAACCAAGCGCTTTGAGATATATGTGCTGCCATGTTACTGTATATTCGATCGCGCGTTTTCGGGGTAGAGTGGACGTACGTTGGCCTAAATGGAGAACGATCATTTCGATACTGATCTATTTATTGATGGAATCTAAAAGAGACCAACCATTGTCAAAGGATTTTATAGATATTTTAAAAGAATTAAAAAAACTTGGGTTTATTTTGTCTTAGTTTTGGATACAACGTCGCAAACATTCCATGTGTCAGTCTATCTCGTAATATTGGGTGCACCCAAAATTCTCTTTGCCTCTGCCATCGTCTTTTATAGCGACGATGGAGGAGGGGCACACGAGCAATTACTTTCTCGTCCATTTCCAAACTGAGCCAGTGCGTATGCTCCACTAAATGCTCGTCTAACGCCTGGTGTGTACGCTGCTAACGCGCGTTTAATGCAACGCAAAACGCCTAGTGTGTACACAGCCTAAGACTTTATTAAACATGATCTGCACAAAACTCATTGACTCAGGAATCCCAAAGAAGTTATGGAGAGAAGCATTAACTCAGCCTACAAACTAAATAGTTCTCCAACAATGCTCTTCAGAAAAAGAAAACGCCATCATTTCTCTGGCATAGATGGAATAATCTCAGCCAGCTGAAAATATTTGGATATCCAGCATGGCACATCCTACCAAAGCAAAATAAACTAGAACCCGGAGCAAAATGTTATGGTGATCCCATTGTATAAATTATATCCTTTTTTTTCAGAAATATCCCTAGACATTTTTGAGGTGTGCATTTATAATAATGAGATGTAGCATGAGTTTTGTAAATTAAGATAAAAATATTAATATAATTTTATAAGTTATAGAATTGTTATTGATGTTTCTTTTAGAATAATTTCTACACTTGTTTTTCTTGACATATTACATAGATGTTGAAGATGAGATGAAACACAAAAAATAAAACTACAATGTTTTCCAATTCTTAAGGAAAGGCAGAATTTTGTTCTTAACAAAGATTAAAGAAATAAATCAAATGTTATAAGTATTATATTACTCTATAACTATCCTTATTTATATAAGAACAGAATTAAGAAATTTTGGATCTAATTTAAATTTTCAAAAATAATGAGCTTATTTTGTTCCTTACAACTGTTTTTAATAATTGTGCAAATTTTAAGTTTATTAAGTGAAAAATGTTACACATACATTAAAAGGAATGTGCTCAACAAAATAATAATTAATAACCAAACACCTTTATCTTGCCAAGAAAATTTAATTAAAACAAACGTTTTTGACCTATTCCATAGGACATCATCAGGTTTAAAACGGACAATTGGATTTTGTGGAACAAAATCTTCCAATAAAGGTAAAGGTGTTTGGTTATTAGTTACACATACAATAATTTAGCAGTTTAGGAAAAAAGAAATCCATACAAATTGTTAAAAATGAACTGTTTTATTAACCAAATACACGATACATAACATAAGGCACACAAACAATTTGTTCTCTGCACATAACATATTATATACAACTATACTGTCCAATAAGTAATGTTACAAAGATACTACAAATTGTCAAATGGCATTTAGTAAAAAGACAATGTATCATGTAAAGTTTTAACAGTGAAACTTGTAAATAAAATTAGTTAAAAGATAAATTCTTGATATTTTCTGTAGATTAAAATGAAATGAATGACAGGATAAAAAAAATATAACAAATTAAAATACTTTATCTTTTAACTAATTTTATTTCATGGCTTCAGTTTAAAATAAGTAAAAAAAATTGTCAAAAATCCATATACATATATATGCTGAAGACACATTTAAATGGTTATAATTCTTAGAACATAATATCAATTTAAGATCATAAATAATCTATACAATGATTTACATCACTGTTTTTCGTAAGTATTTAATATTACAATTTGTTTAGCTCAACAAAAATCATCACGACATCAGCTGGGCATTTTCAGCTTCAAGCAAGGCACAAGTCACACACTATAAAAAAGTGTTTTTTTTCCCTTTTTTATTTATGAGAAACATTTTTTCAACATAAATATATCTAGCATGATTGATACTGTTTGTAGCAATGAGGAATGTTATTTACAAATAGGTATTAAAATGTCTGCCATACTGCTATCACACAGCAAATCAATCCTTTGTCCGATACTGTGTCGAAGCTATCTCTTGTGGCTAATCTTCCGCGAAGTTTTGATTGAGACTTGTTTCTTTTCTTAGAAGAAACAAGTTAATAAAAGTTACAGCTATGTCACATTCAATAAATTTGGCACTGCAATAATTAATACCATTGCCAAATTATTAGCACTGTATAGCAATTATTAATTCCTACACAAATGTAGGCTTGAAATACTTAAAAAATGTAATTATAACATAGTCTATAATGAATACTGGTTTCTGTATCAGTGAAATCACTGATTACTTATAAAACAATTTAAACTTTATTTTGAATATATTAACGTAGCAAAACTTAACTGTTTTAATGATTATAAGATCTTGCAATAACTATTTGTTAAAATTCTAATGTCTATTAACATGACTTTATTTAATATTCAACAGAACAATAAATAATATCATAAATTGTTATAATTGCCACAATATATAGGAAAACTGTTTGATTCTTTCACTTCTGTTATGACGTATCTCCATTCATTAACTGTATTTCAAGTTCAATCCTTTTTCATACTTTTTAACTGGGAGGAATTCATTTTCCACCTTCTTAAAGCTATGCAGTATTTTGACTTTTGTGAAAGCTTTGGTTGTTTAAAATTCATTGACCTGATTTAAGTGTGTATATATATATATATATATATATTTGTATATATATAGATAACTATTTATAATAATGAAATGAAACTTTCTAGATGGGATCCAAAAATCTACAGAAATTATTATAATGCATGGCATTATTTTATTCTGCAAATAAGTAATGGCCTCTTAGTTCAAAGGCAGGTGTAAAGATGAATAAGTTCAAACACTGTGATAAACACAATCCAGATGATAATTGTGCAGTACTTCATCAATGATCACACTCATGAAGATTCTTTTTTACGATGCTAATTAATTATCCACTTACCAAAACAGTAAATATCAACTCAAATATCTTATTTCTGAACATCTTGCTAGGAAGTCTTTCATTTCTTTCAGTCAATTGTGAGATCATTGAACCACACCAAATAACTTTCTAAAGATATTTATTTGGCAACAGATTGAGCAAATTGACTCAGACGATAATTTCTCTTATAACTCTACGAGATCGTGAATTGGGAGTTGAATAACCACTCTCTAAACTTTCATCAAAAGAGAGAGACATTTGTTGAGTTTTTTCTTCTTCTCCCATTGCATATGGATCTGGCAAACCACTAACATCATAGTATGGTGCTCCTGAAATATATTAAATTTTAATATTGTTTTATAAAACTAAAAAAAAATTTAAAAATTGAACAATATTTCTTAAAATACAGGAAAACATGAAAAAGATGTTTTGTGGTCATATGAGAATCTACAAGAAAAGTTATCAAAACTTATACTATAAAGAAGAATAATGTGAAGGAGAGAAGATGCGAATTGAGAACAAAATAGCTGACAAGGAACTGGATAATTGTTGTTATAAGATAAATAATGGGAAAAAGCTTTTATGTGCTTATATACAAATATACAGTATAATCATACATATATAATCACAATGATAAATGTGATTATAATCATTACTCTATTTGAACATAATTTTTAAAATGAATTACATTGAACTTTGTAAATTTTGTTACTAAAACATTAATATTTTGCTAGCCATACACAAGTTAACCCAAAATATTATAATAGTATCAGAAGAGTCAGCTTTTTAAAAATTTTAAGAATAAANTTTATATATATTAAAATTCACTAAACCTTTAATTTTCAGATAAAAATTTACATACAAACTAACATTTTTAGTTAACTTAACCATAACCAGGTTCCAAATACATAAGAAAAAACTACTAAATATTGCATATTGGTCCAAAAAATCTTTTTCAAATTTATGAATATTGTATATATACTATTCAAGTAGGCTACATCTTTTTCAAATAGAATGTTCATAATATTCAAATAATTTTTTGAACTGATGTTCTAGAATCTAGTATTTTATGTATTTGAAACTTAATGATGGCTAAGTAAATTAGTTAAAAACATTTGTTCATATGAAAATTATATATTGGAAATTACAGGTTTAGTTTGTGAAGTTAATTTCATTCAGTTATTGCTTACGTTAGTTAAGTAAGCATTAAAAGTTAAGCATTAGTTATATTATAATACAATAAAGCTCTCCAATTATTCACAAATCCATAAAGAAATTTAATGTAAATTAACATATCTTTTTCCAAGCACTTTTGGACCAATTATATTCATCTTTAAGAGAATATACTGTTAAAACAAATACTTATTTTTAGTAGAAAATTCTCTTAAGATGAGCTTAACCACTATGAAAGAACTTAGAAAGATGTTATATATGGTTGTCTGATTTTAATAAAGCAGTCAGGCATCAACATAAAACACCTTTCTGTTGTTTCATAGATATATTATAATTAATATTAGAATAGTCAATAAAATTCTATAAATATAATGAACAAATTTTATAAAAAAAATAAAATACAGAATATTTTGTATAATTATTCAAGATATATTCCCTTCAGTTTTATTTCACATTTACTAATTTTGACTGGCAAAAAGAAAAATAAGATGACTCACATTCATAGCACTAATTAATACTATTTATCAAAATACAATAATAATAAAATTTTAATTCTTCTAGTAACATATCTTAAATTATTATAACAGAAAACTGGACAACTGTAATAAAATTTAGACTGTCAAAATTCTTTAATTGATATTAAATTAAATTAACTAAACTTTAATGTAAGATTTGCAGGAATTAGGGCAGTAAGTAAATCAATAAGATTAGTCTCTTCCTTGCCATAATATATTAGTACATCATCTACATATCTAAGATATGCCAACAGGCATCTTATTGTGAATAGGGCATCAGATATATAGGATTCAATAGCTTTGAGCACTGTTTCTGCTAATATTGCAAACAAAAGAAATCCTATCACTAATCCTAATTTCTGACAATAGAATTTTTCATTTGATCTGGAATTAATTTGAAAAACAAAAAAGGTTTAGCAACTGCTTAATCTTAGTTTAACATCAACTCACAGGATAATACAAGTGTTGTTTTTAACTGATTTTCCAGATGTGTTTTCTAGCTAAGATGGCAAAAACTTCTAACTTATTATCAAAAATTGTTTCTACCTTGCCAATAATAGTTGGCAATGACAATGATGATAAATTAGCTTTATTTTATAAATTTAGATGAAGTTGCTTCACTTATTGTTTCCATTAGTGAAAGCAGATTTCACCACTTTCAATATACTCTCAATGCTGTCCTGTATCTTTGTGGTGTGAACTCAAACAATTGAAACATGACTGAGTAAATATCTTGATTTCTGACCTGCCAGAATCTGAATTTTTGCACATGTTTCAGCAGACAAGCTCAACTTTTCAAATATGCTCTTAATTTTACTTTCTTCAAAAAATTTCTACTAATGGCTTTTAATTACATTTAGTTTTATAAATATAAATTTTTTAATAATACAAAAATTAACCTTCTTAAAATAAACAAAAAATGTGTTGAAACTAAAGTGTACATAAATATTTATAAATAAAAAGTGTTTATAAATAATATTCATAAAATAAAAATGTTAAGTAATTATATACTTACGTAAATGTTCTCTATTTTTAATATTCATGACTTCTTCAGTTAAAGGTTGATAATCTTCAGGATAAAAATAACCATTAGGCATGTTGGCATCATAAGGATGATATGAACTATCTTGTGGATAATCACCAGACTTAATCCACATGTCAGACTGTCCGTCACTCCCTAGTGTTGGATTACCATCTCTTATTGAAGAGTTGTAAAGCATTCCTATAATTTTAATAATATGTTAATACAAAATAATAACATATTAATTAAATGTTTAAAATTTTAATTATTAATACCATTATTAGATTGTTGTATCATATGGCTATTCAATGATCCAGGAGTACCATCCACAATATTACTCATATATATGTTTGGTTTAAGATCTAGATTATTTTCAATACTTTTATTGAGTCCTTCAGAATAAAATGGAGCACTGACAGTTTTTGGATGGCCACTGAAATAACAAAAGAATTAAATTATAACTGTTTATGTTATAGGAATAAATAGAATGAAAATCATTATTTTGTAAAGAAATTAATCTATGTAGTCAACAAGGTTAAAGATGATCAAAAACATAATTCCTCCAAATGCTCCTACTGAATTATAAGGTTTTTGTGGTTTAAGTAATATACTTTAAGCTAAATTTATTTTTTGTTTAGATTTATCAAGTTTTGTAGACTAAACTGTATAAACAGAAACAGGTCTTCGATTTATTTGAAAATCATAGTTTACTTCTAAAAATATAAAACTAAATGTGTCTGTTTATTTTTATACTTTTAGCCTTTAATAGCTTTAATTAAGCAACAATTATTTTTGATTTTGTGAATATTTGTTTTACTCTATGTGACTGTATGATTTCTAAGCTTACATTAATTCTTAAAAAATTATTTTTAAAATAATCACCTTCCAGATTCCATTTCATAGTTCTTTTTCTCTGAAATTTAAAAAACAAAGAGGTTATCAATAAGTTGTAATTATATATACATGGTATATATAAACTAATAATTTATAGTTAGTCAACATGAATCCAGAATTCATACAGAATGGCTTATAACAAACATTAAAGTCTATACACAAATTGATACAATTTATTTATGATGAATTGCTAAGATCTGAAGCAATCCATCAGTGTAAATTTAGCTCAGATATTTGAAAAAATAATGAGCAGGTCACAAAATATCTGGATTCATAGAATCTTCCTATATTTAAAAATTTTTTTTACAGATAGCAACATACCATTTTTGCCTTTTCTACACCAACAACAACATATCACACTAATAATTAAAATGATAAGAACACAGCCTGCAATGACAATGATGATTACAATGTTGATTGTTGATAGTGCTGGTTTTGATTCCTTGGATTTTTCTACAGTAACTATAAAAATAAAAAAAATACTTATTGTAAACATACAGAAAATTTTATTATAAATACAGTGGTACCTCAGGTTACGAACGCCCCAGCATACGAAATTTTCAGGATACGACATGAAATTTGAACATATTTTTGCTCCACGATACGAACAAAAATTCACCATACGACGTTACATTAGTTCGCATTTTTCATTTGTTTTTCTTACTACAGTTATTTTTTTTAATGTATTACTTGGCTTTAATTTGAGTATGTTTTTCGCGTTGGAACGAATTATTTGGTTTTACATGTAATCGTATGGGAAAAGGTGATCCACCTTACAACATTTTCATGATACGATCTCAGTTTCGGAACGGATTAATTTCGTATCCTGAGGTACCACTGTACAAATACAAAGACAATTGAATGACCAGTACAATTATGGGTTTGAGTTTTGGATTGAAGTCTCAGAATTGTCATTGACAGTTTGAGCAAATTATAAACTCTTTCTGTCCTGCAAGTACTAAACACTACTTTTTTTGTGTCATTCATGGGTTCAGACAATTTATAATTATCTTCATTGTGGACTATCTGAATGCATTATAAGCATGGAAAAAAGGCATCTTAGTGCACTTAAGGGAGAAATAGTTTTTAAATGTAAAAATTTAACTCTTGTCTTACTAATCTTTTATCACCATCAAGTTCATTATTTAATTATTTTGTACCATCTTACAAAGATAAAATGTTATATTGTATGCGAATTTTTTTGTCATATGTAAAATAATGAAAGGGAAAATTTATCATCACAATATATTTTGCTAAAATATGTTAAATTTATTAATCACCACCTATTTATTTTTTTAAGGGCATAGAATTTTATGATGTATATCATAATTATTTAGCATTTTGATTATTTCACTGTAGTGGGTGATTGGTTCACAAACAGTTTGGATAGCGAACAAATCAGATAACAAACACTTTAGTGAAGGATTTTTTTATGATCAGACAATGAACACTTTACTGAACAAATATAAAAAGAAGCAGTGGAAAATAACAAGTACCAATTGATTTTTCCTTGTCTTCAGGTAACAATTCGAAAACTTTCAAAGCGAGGGAGACGTCAACATTGACGCTCAACCCGATACCAATCAGATAGTATAATATTCCTCCAAATTTTGAAACTCTCCCTTGTAATTCCAGCTTTTTGTTTACCTTGCTGACAAATAATTTTTTATATTCTTTGCGAGACTGTGAGACTGTCAGACAGGCACTTGTTAAGTTTTGCATCTGGGTTTATTTACGAAAGGTGAAAGTTTAACTGTCCCATTGGATATTCATTAATGTTTTAATACCAAATTTCAAATGTCATTCGGGCCTTGCATTTAAATAACTTTTTGTGGGCTAGTTCATTTCTGTTCTCTGAATTTTTGCAAGTGCTTTTCTGAAATTTTTATTTAAAAAAGAAACTGATAATATTATGGAGCCTAAAAAGAGGAGTGTCAAGAACTGTGCTCACCATGGAGACCAAGTAAGAGATAATAGCCAAGGTAGAAAGTGAGCACAAGATGTCTGATGTTGCTAGGCAGTATGGCTTGAACAGGTCTACAGTAGGCATAATCTTAGCTATGAAAGCTATATCAAGAAGTCTCAAGCTACTAATGGAGTAATGAAAATCACATCTGAGAAATAAAAGAGCATTTTAGAGCTCATAATGGAACCTGAAACTGATCTGATGACAAAACTCCAAGAACTCTCAAATGAAGAATACCAAGAAACTCAGCGAGATGTGTTTTCTTTTGAAAAAGAGGAAGACGAAAGAGGACCAATGTCGACATCTGCTGCTAAAGATCTTTTGAATAAGTGGGAGGATGTCAGAACAACGATCATCCAAGTGGCATCCAAACCAGAATAAGGTTAATGGGATTAGGAATTACAATACTATTAATTACTTTCGAAAAATCCTGAAGAAAAGAGAAAAGCAATCGACATTGGACTGATTCTTTAACCTCCACAAACAGAAAAAACATGACTAATAAAAATGCAAGACTGCACATATATATGTACTTTTACTATTACATATAAATAAATATAGTAAAAAAGTATATATTTTTTATTTTTTGGAGTCTCCAGAACAAATTAATCAAATTCCCATAAAAACCTATGGTAAATTGATAATTGGTTAATGAACAATTCGGATAACAAACAAAGTCATGGAACGAATTTTATGTTCGTTAACCGATCACCCACTGTATTACTAAATATTACTAAACATTTCTGACATCAGTTATAAAACAAAAAAAATTTAAGTAATGTAATTTAATTCAACCTGCATTTGACAAAATGATAAATAAAAACCTAATAATTAGAAGTTTTTATTCACTTACTTAGAGGACTAACTAATCTTTCATCACCACACCAAGAATGATTGGTTTGAAGACAAAGTACAACTCTAATATCAGTAAATCCTTCAACAGGAGGATTTATTTCTATTTCCTCTTCATAATTTTGCAAAGGGAATAACTTTTGTAATTGCCATTCTTCACTTCCAGGTGAACGTGCCTCTACCTGAAATTTAATAAAATATAATTATTATAAACTGATATGATTATCTAACTATTGTTATTATTGTATATGTTAATAATGAACTAATATGAAATCTATTGTATAAAAAACTTCTGAATGTTACAATATTATTTACTGTTATTATCAAGGAATGTTTATAAATTAAATTTGTACAACCCCACAACAGGGATAATCCCTTTTTGCTAATAAAGATTATTAATTAATTAATTAATTAATTAAAATTATTATAAACTGATGTAAATTTAAACAATTAAACATTTTATAAATCCTTTAATTCTCAATTGAAAATTTATTATTTAAAGACTTAATATAACTGCAATTGAAATTAAAACTTGTTCATTTGTTGTTTATAAATGGATTTTTGAAATTCCAAATTGTAATGATATATAATAAACAATTATAAGCTATCATTTATTATTTGGATGCTTTTATAGTTTAAATTGTTTGTTGGATGCATCTTTTTAATCAGATTATTTTCTCACATCTGTTTATTTTTAAAACAGAAAAGGATATACTTAAAAATTACTATTTAATCAATCCTTTTAATAAAAACTCCTTCATTTTGATAGAAATTAAATTTAAAATTGTAAAAATAAAAATTTAATTTAAACACTTAAATAATTCACTTATAAGCACTTAACTGAATTTCAACTTTACACAAAGTAAATTATTTATACTAAAGTTTCTAAAATCGACAGATGTAGTTATTTTCAATCTTAAAATTATGAGTATATATTTTATATCATTAATGATTTTTCAAAGACATCATTTATATATTTATTCACAAAATATCAACTATGTGCATTGATATCAAAGATCAATATGGGACAATTTTTAACTAAATGATAGAGGATGTCATCTGTCAAATATCTTTCAATAGATGCATGCAGGAATGAAAACGGTGTAAATACAATCTGTTTAATATATGAACACTGATATGATCAATATCAAGCTTCAATTACATTCAATCTTTCTGAGGTGCTTTAAAAATAATCTCAGAATCAACTGCATTAAGAATGAGCCTGAAGACAATTTAGATATTCATTCAGTAACACTATCTTTATTCAGTGTCAACTTTTATCAAAATTGTGTCATACAATATTATAGGAGAAAACTGTTCTGCCTAAGCCATCCTAGATCAGTATTATCAAGTAATCATATCAAAAATTTTTTACATGCAATAACTTTGAATTAATATTAAACTAAGAATTATTTTAATTGCAATTTAATCTGCAAAAATTCACTTTTATGTTTTAATAAATATAAGCTAATAATACATCTAAAATTAGTTGATATGATTACCTGTTAATGTTCTAGATATAGTAAAACCATATAGTAAAAGAAAATTATATACTTCTAATAAATTCTAAAGCATCCGAATGCAAATATATTCTAATTAAATTAAATTAATTTCTTATTTTAATTCAATGAAAGCTTTGAATCAATTTCTGATTTACATGAAATAAGAATTAGTTAATTTGTTACAATTTATATATTGTATATTTATTTATTTAGCCTATATTTTAAATTTTTTTCATTAACTAATTTGTAAACTAACAGATTTAAATCTGCTTCTTCCAATCTTAAGAAATACATCTTAGATGATGCACTACATATGAGAGAAAAATTATCAAGATCTCATGTATTGAAAAGCCTCTCTCCAGTTCAGGAAAGTAAATTTGTTGGATTATAAACTGTTAGTTTTTGTTATTTAGGGTTTGTATTGAGTTATAAAATATAGTAAATTAATTCCTTCTTGAATTAATCAATAGGAATAATACATTAATAATTCCTCCTACTTCATGACATCTCGAACCGTGAANAATATTGATAATTTTAAATTTATTAGTCAAAAATTTAAATACAATTAAGTAATTTAAATATTAATAATTCTTAGTGAAATTAAAAAAAAAAAATTACCTTTGCTGCAAGAGGATATTCAGTCTTTTCTACTTTAAAATAAAGTTTATTTGAAGTCCGATCATAATAAGCATCAGAAGCACGGGGCATATCTATAAAATAATTATAAATGTTCATTGTTATTCTGTTTAAAAATGGAAATTATTTAATAAAAAAATTTGTTTAATGAAATATTTTTAAATATTAAGTAAAAACTCACCTTTTAAATTCACTGTAAAGAAAAGAAATAAATAAATAATTAATCAACATTTATAAATTAGAAAATACATATTTTATATCTCTAACTAGCAATAATAATATAATAGATTTAAAAATTTTTTAATTTGCATATGTTATATAAAATGTAAAATTAAGAAAATAAATAGATTAATTAAAAATACCTTTAGTCATTACAACAATTTCAGGCGAATAAGGGCTGTGACCACGTGAATTTACTGCAAAAACTTTAAAGCGATACTGTGTTTTGGATTGTAAACCTATTAAATGAATTTAAAAATAAATACAATAAAATATTGGAATAAAACTATATAAAACTTTATATAATTCTTCTATAATGCCAATCATAAATTTGAAAAATATATTATTCTAGCCTTTATTTACTGTTTATTTTTGATAAATACTCAATGTTAATCTCTGATTACTACTTAATAAACATATCTTTATCATATTAATTAAATAGAAAATATGTAAGAGATTATGGTTATCTGTATTAAACTTTTAAAAAATATAATGTATTATAGAGTAATTAAATACCTTTTAAACTAATTCATTAACTCTAATAATATTATTTGTTCTTTATAGTTGATAAAATGACAAAGAAACAAATTTTGGCAATATTTATTTGATATTTATTAGATTCAAAATACTGCTGTAATATGAGAGTAAAAATTTCAAAAACTTGAATATAGGTAACACCAATATATGTTCTATAATATGCAGGTATTAAAGAAATTCAAGAAAACTGACATTATTATAGTTATTATTTAAACTTCCTGTGTAAAATTTCTTCTGTGCTACATCACATGGATTAGAAAAAATAAGGTTGATGTATTGTCCTATATATTAAACATTCATAATTTTTACAAAGTTTTCTAGATCCAATAATAATAAGAATTCTTAATGGTTTTCTTTGTAGTATTAAATGTATACAAATCACTACAATAAAAATATTTTTATCTTACATTTTGAAAATCTTTTTAATAAATTAAAAAGATTTTCAAAATGTATTAATGATTTAAAGTTATAGAAAATGAATTTAGAATTTTAAGAATAAATATTTAAAATCTGTATCTTAAAATTGGAAAATGCTATCTTATATCATTTTCTTATCTTCATTCTTGTGTTATTCTAATTTATTGTTCTAAAACCAGCTAACAATGAGAATAATACTGTAGATGGTGTGGAAACATACCTGATAATAAAAAATATGTTAGACTTTTACATTTAAATGTGTTTGTGTTCTTGTTATGATCTATGAAATAATTTGTTATTTTAAGTGAATCTGCACAACTATGTAGTAAAGTTAGGCAGAGTGAATATGTTCAAGGGCTAAATGAGAATGAGTGTTATTGACTTTCTTAATATACAGTAAATAATGAAAAGTTAATTGTTATACTAATATTAATACTGACAATAATAAAGCATTGCATTATAAATGATATTTGTAAGAGCAGAAATTTTCAATTTGTCCAAAGTAAATATATTAAACATGATTCTTAAAAAACTAGAACTGAATACTATGAAATATATTTTTTAATATAAATACGATATTGTTTAAATACATTATTTGTCAACATTATTAATCATAAATGTTTCAAAAAATTTTTTTATTTATTTTGGAATTTACTAGCCAACAGATAATGCTTTCAATACTTAAAACTTCATTTTTAGCAAATTTCCTATAGCAAACTGTCATTAACATACTGATATTGTTTAATAGTTGAAAATTTTTAGCTCAGTAAGAAAATGTCTCATTTAAATACTAATTTAACTAAAAGTTTCTTTCTCTGAAATATTATTCAAACAAAACAACGCAAGCATTACAAAAACATCATTTTTTACAAATAATTTTTTAAAATTATTAAAGAATCTATTCCTAAATTTATATTTAAGATTGTATATGTATAAAACTGATTTATAAAGCAAATAAATAAATTATTTGTTAAAACCATATTGTAGCAAAACAAAGTGGAAGTAATCACTAATGATCTATATTATGCCAATTTATATTAATTTAATTTCATCATTCTAAACATAAAGATAGTATGTTGGTTGATTTTTATCTTTGTATTAAATAAAAAATGTTCATATTTACCCAATATTTGGCAAGGATTATGTGCATGACACGATTCATTTTTCTCATCATTTGTTTCTGTATTAATGTAAGTAACAACAAAATTAGTATTTGACATCCCACCATTGAAGCCTTCCAACCACATTAAATTGACTCTATCAGAGCTAGCATCAGCTGTTAATTCTGATGGTCTTTCTGGTGGTCCTAGTTAAATAAAAATTGACATATTCATTAAATAAATAATTTCATAATAATTTAAAATAATTTATTTTTAATAAATTCAAAAAATTTACCTTTTTTGACAAGAGTTACAATGGTCTTTTTATCTCCTCCAATCTGATTCCATACTCTACAAGTGTATTCACCATAATCATCTTCTTTCAAGTCTCTTATATAAAGAGTTCCAACATATATATCATCACCAAGATCCGTAACATTAGTTTTGTAATTACCATAGTTTTCTAATATCCTCTTATCATATTGCCATTCAAACATTGGTTGTGGATAAGCTTGCATCTTACACTGAAGTATTGCTAACTCCCCAACATCAAATGCAATACGATTATATGTGTGTCTAATAATTGGAGAATCTAAAATATTTACACAATTACAAAATTATATATGATTTAAATTAACTAAATGAATATGTGGTGATGACACTTACGTTCAATGCGTAAATTCATCTCTGATTGTGCTGGTTCACCAACATTATTTTCAAATTCACATATATAAAGGCCTCTATCATCAGCATTTAATGCATTTCCTTTGCGGCCTAGTCCTTCAAAAATTAATGTACTTTGTACAGAATATGCATTATTATCTTCTATATTATCTAAAGTTTCTATCCTATAAATAGAGCTATTATCTAATATAACTTTTCCACGATGAAACCATTTCACAGAAGGCTTTGGTTTTCCTCTTGCCCTGCATGTTATACTGAATCCTATATCACCAGTTTTTTTACTATTTTGAGGTTTTAGACGAAGTGAAATTCTTGGTTGTTCTGTAATTACAAAAAGGAAAACAGTTTTTAATTTTCTATTTAAATAAAATTTACTTTATACTAAACAATATTTTATAATTTACACCTATCATTTAAAAAATTAAAACAACCATAATTTCTTATTCCTAACTTCATATGTTTTCAACATATTTAACTTTTAACATAAACATACAGCAGATTCAATTACTGATACCAAATTAATCCAGCAGTTCATTTGGTAGTATTTAACTTTTTATATATTTTATCATTTGAAAGCAAATAATACATATAAATAATACTTAAATTAGAAAATTATGTTATATAATATTAAGATCTCAATCACATAAATTTATTATTATAATAATAAATTTATACAGAAGATTGCATTGTGTGAATTGTTCCATCTGTTGGAAGAATAAAAGGATACACTCAATGGCAAAAGGGGGATAAAAAAAGCAGATGATAAAAACCAAGAAAAAAGAACATTGTGAAGGACAAAATTTGAGTTTTTTTTTTTCAGAAGCAGAGACTGATTTTGCTACTGTGTGTGAATTTATTCTTACATTTATGTTTCTGATTAATATATTTATTTCTTTTAATGAAAAAAAAGTTTTTTGTGTGTTCAAATTTTGAAAAACTTGAGGAGAGACCTGATCAAAAGGCAATAGTAAAATATAACACCATCTGTTTGTATAAAAAAATGAAATCACTAATTTAAAACTTACCATGTACAGTTAAATAAACTGATCCAATAGAACCTTGTCCAAGAACATTTTCTGGCTGACAAAAATAATCTCCTTCATGACTAACATGAACAGAAATAATGGTGTAATTAATACCATGGCTAGATTCTGATTTTTCTTGACCTTCTTTCCACCATGAATATTCTGGAAGTGGCCATCCTGGAGGTCTCACTGAACAGGTTAAAGTAAATGGTTTTTCCGCAATAGCTATTGGATTGCGTGGTAATATTTCTGTCTCACCAGGTTTATCTAAAAATAAAAAATAAAATAAAATTTATCATTTTTCACTTTACAAATGTAGAAAATTAAAAACATAATGTTTCAAATTTAAATACATTATCTATATGCTCATAATTAATTATTATAAATGTACTGTACATTTTATAAAATTGAAAAAGTTTATTCTGAAATATTTGTTGTATTAATACAATTTTAAAGTTTTATTAATTAATTTTAAATTAGTATAATTTCTATTAATTCAATTAATTACACAAATAGTCTTTATCTTATATAAATAATAATAATAATAATAACAGAGAAGTTATATTTATGTTAAATGAACTGATAGTAAAATTTTATAATTATTTAAGTGTAGTCAGTATCATTATTTTATAATCAATATTTGAAATGAATAATTTAAATAGTTGGAAGTAGGAAATGATGATATTCTGAATTTTTAATTAAAATTTCAATAATGAATAATTTATGATAAAAATTTTATTATACACAAAAATTAAAATATTCTTTTAATCATTAATTATAGAAATAATTCTTGGAAATGATAAATATTTCTCAATACAATATTAATTAGTTAATTTTTTTTATATATATTAAAATTCACTAAACCTTTAATTTTCAGATAAAAATTTACATACAAACTAACATTTTTAGTTAACTTAACCATAACCAGGTTCCAAATACATAAGAAAAAACTACTAAATATTGCATATTGGTCCAAAAAATCTTTTTCAAATTTATGAATATTGTATATATACTATTCAAGTAGGCTACATCTTTTTCAAATAGAATGTTCATAATATTCAAATAATTTTTTGAACTGATGTTCTAGAATCTCGTATTTTATGTATTTGAAACTTAATGATGGCTAAGTAAATTAGTTAAAAACATTTGTTCATATGAAAATTATATATTGGAAATTACAGGTTTAGTTTGTGAAGTTAATTTCATTCAGTTATTGCTTACGTTAGTTAAGTAAGCATTAAAAGTTAAGCATTAGTTATATTATAATACAATAAAGCTCTCCAATTATTCACAAATCCATAAAGAAATTTAATGTAAATTAACATATCTTTTTCCAAGCACTTTTGGACCAATTATATTCATCTTTAAGAGAATATACTGTTAAAACAAATACTTATTTTTAGTAGAAAATTCTCTTAAGATGAGCTTAACCACTATGAAAGAACTTAGAAAGATGTTATATATGGTTGTCTGATTTTAATAAAGCAGTCAGGCATCAACATAAAACACCTTTCTGTTGTTTCATAGATATATTATAATTAATATTAGAATAGTCAATAAAATTCTATAAATATAATGAACAAATTTTATAAAAAAAATAAAATACAGAATATTTTGTATAATTATTCAAGAACCACAGAAAATAATAATCACATAATATTTAAATACATAAAATGGAAATTTTAATTTTTAAAAATAATTGAATTCTATTCATTGTAGATTATAAAGAAGTTAAAAGCTTTGAGGATATGAAAAGTTTTGGTTTAAAAAATTCAAATCTTATAAACTTGTATAAATGACGATGACCTAACCGAAATTCTCAAAATACCAGAGAGATTTTATATCGATTTGATAGATAGAGAATGAAAGTTTTGATAGTTTTATTAACTCTGGGACTATCAAATATCTGAGTGTTTTCAGGGTGTAAAATCATATCAGTAATTAAATTAAGCAACTATATAGACTATAAATATATATATATATAAAAAAAACCCAATTATTTCTTAGAAAGTTGGTGTTTTATTTATGATTTATTAAAGTCTATTATTACATTTCCTAATTTAAAACATATGTTAACATTATTATGTTTAAGAAACTTCTTTACATCATTGATAAATGAACAGTTTGTGTATTATAAATGGAAAATTGGATCATAAATATCAAAAATTATTAAAAATGTAAATTAAAAAGATAGAAAAAAAGAAAAAAAATGATTGTAGACTTCTCCGTCAAATGCAAAGATAGAATTATAATAGATCAGATGGGCTAATTCAATGACTTGCTAGTGTAATGCCAGCAAAAAAATGTTTGTGTGTGTGTGTGTGAATAACTTGTGCATTTATTTAGAGATAGAAGTTTTATCCTTCTTCTGAATTATGTTGAAAAGAAGTTTAGATGTTAAAAAATATTTAACAATACAGATTAGTATTTATGTATGTCTTTTGTATTATTTTTAAATAAATATATACTTACGCCTAACATAAATCAAAATTGTAGCATTGCTAGTTACTTCTTTTTGTATGGTTGTACCAGATGGTCTCAATGTTGTCGTGGCTTGACAAGTATATTTTCCTGCATCTTCTGCTGAAATACTAGTTAACCTCAACATATCTCCATTTTGATGAAAGTATTGATCACCTTGCTTTAGCCATTGAAGATTATGTGGAGGAGGATTAGATGCTACATTGCATTTCACATTTACTGATTTGCCTAGTGTAATTTCTTTGTCTGGTAACAAACTAACCTTAGGTCCATCTATAAAAATATATAATTAATATCATTAATCTGAATAATGAATTATATATATATATATATATAATTTATAAAAGTTTAATTAAATATTTACATAATACTGAGAGTTTTAGATCTGCTTTTGTTGGTTCTCCTATTCCATTATCGGCTATACAAGTATATGTTCCACTATCTTCTGGTGTTACAGCAGTAATTGTGTGATTGAGTTTGTTTGAAAGAAACTGACCATTTTTTACCCATTTTATCATTCTAACTGCAGGATTAGCAACAGCAGAACATGTCATGAATGCATCAGTATCAACCATAACATTTAATGGATTGTAAGGACCAACAGTTAAGCGGGGAGAATCTGAAAATAAGTTTATAATGATATCAACATTTGTTTGAACACACATTATCACAATTATATTATCTTTGGAGGAATCTAAATTTTTCTCAAAAGATAATGTTTATATTTGCTCATTATTATATGATAAATATTGCTAAAAGATTACTTTGTTGCATATATTAAAATTGATAGTTATAATGTAGATAGATACTAACAATGAACATGTAACTTTATAGATGCTTCTCTCCTCTCTTCTTCTCTGATAGCTCTGTTCCAAACTGTACATCTGTATTTCTTTCCATCATCATCTACTCTTGGATGAATTGTAAGAATATTGTATGTTGGATGATCTCTGGAACCTCCATTTTTTGTCGGACTGGATAAGGCAGTTCCTTCCCTATACCACTGAATTACAGGATCTGGACTTCCACCTTGACTGCTACAGGTAAGTTCAAAAGGTATACCTTCCCTTGCGAGTGGAGTGGCAGGAACAATACGAGGCTCACCTGGTGGAACTGAGAAATAAAAATAACAAAATATTACATGCTTTGAGAAATTTATATCTTAAAAACAAAGCTATATTTATATATATATATGAATGTGTTAATTTTAACAATCTGCATCATAGTTATGTATTTTACATATATACATACTATATATAGAAATTAATCTTATATATATAATATAAGATTAATTTCTATATTCAATAAAATGTAAAGGTATCAAATTTTATCTCATAATTTAAGTATTTTTCATTGACATATTTGTTGTGTTAATGTTTCCAATGAAGATCTGTATTTAGCTAAATATAATATAAAGTTTCTTTGTAACCATTAATAAAAAAGACAAATAATAGTAATAATAAATTGACATTTAACAATGAGAAATATATCAAGAAATTGTATTGCAATTTTCAAATGAAATATTTTAGTTCTTTCATCATAGTTAAAATAAAAGATTTATTTATTGCAAAATGATAAATTGAAAGAGAATTCTTTAAGTTACCAACCATGTAATTTTTAGATATATTTTATAACATTTAGAATGAATTTATACAGGAAATTCTTAAGAATGGAATATATTTATTTCATGAATAGAAATGAATATATATTATTTATAATACAATAATTTCTTGTAATTAAAAAGTTTCAACTTTCATTTTATCAAGCAGATATCTGTCTGTAAAATTTCTAGAAAGGAAATTGAAATTTTTTTTATTTATGGAAGATATAACTATATCCCTTTTCAACATCAGTTTATAGTTTATCATCTTCAACTATCTTATAGCTTTAAAATGCAACAAAAGTTTTTTTCATAAAGAATGATCACAATTCATATAAAAATCACTCCCCTGTTGATTGCTAAACAATCTAATTAATAAAACTAAACTGAATGCTATAGTACATACAGTGTTCAAATGCTGCTAATCTTCATGATTCTAAGAATTTTCTACAAGAGATGCAAAATTATGACTATACAGAATTTTACATCATTAAAACAAAAATAGTTATAAAATATAAATGAAGATATGACTTTTGTCTTAGCTATATGATTAATTACTGAATTTACCAGAATTATAATAAAGTTTTATAAATACTGTACTGTATAGTAAATTCAATTAATATNTGTGATTTTGTAGGCAGAATTATAATAAAGTTTTATAAATACTGTACTGTATAGTAAATTCAATTAATATCAACAGCATACTCCAGTTGAAGCTGAATCTATAGTAAAAACTATTTAATACTACTTTAGCAATGTTTGAATTAATAGTATTTGATAATTTAAAAACTATAATAAAAAAGTAGTTTTTGAATTATATATATATATAATTCAAATATATATTATATGAAATATATTATATATATAATACATATATTATATATAAAGCTTTGGAACAACATGCAATAGTCAATGCCCGAATTATTTTTTTTAATTATCATCATATATGCATGTTGTATTTGTAAATCTTAGAAATTAGTATCCAAGAGCTATTAACGCTGCAACTCTGAAAAATCCAGCAATGAGTTGCTTAACTTTCCCGGCAACATTTGATGGCGCCATCTGTTATCATATTTTATTAAAAACTTTTTATATTTTTAACTATTATAAAATGGCAAAAGCTTAATTTGAGGGTAGAGGTGGTTTTATAAAAATTTGTAAACGCTAATAACGAGTAAAATCGTCATTAATTAAGTCCGACCCTACTCGAGATATGACACGCGGCTTCCTTTATCTCCCCACCCCCTCAAACTTTAATCACAAAATTTTAATAGCATTAATGCTCTTAATACACAAACCTCTCTGCAAAATTTCAGAAATTTTCGACAAAAAGCACAGGAGTTATTAAGCTTCAAACAAGGTGAACAAAATCGTGCCCCCACACACAAACAAACATCCAAACATACAGAAATTACCCCCCAAATTTTTTTTTTGCATTTTTCGACATTTGAAAGTCTCGGTTCCAAAAATGTAATAAACTCAGAGCGTCATTTTTTGACCTATCTCCATACTTTTCCTCTGTAATATAACACAGCCGGAAAAGTAAAAAGATTGCTCATAACGTATGCGAGATGCTTAGATGACAAAAAAGTTCTTGCAACAGCTTCAGAACTTCTCACAGATAATGATGTTAAATGATTTTATAAGAAAGTATTGTCTTTGGATCGTTGATATAACTTGTAATCATATAGCATATTATCACGAACAAAAATACTCAGCAAGTAATTCCGTTATACCTCCTACTCAAAGGCTGAATGTTTCTACAAATTTTCTCTACCATCAGCGATGACGTCGAATTTCCCAATACCAGTAAAATTATTATAGCTAATTACCTTCATTAACTATATAATTAACTGAAGATATAAACAAGTTGAGATATTATTTTAAAGAATTGTCTCGAAAATGTATGCATAAATAATATAATCTTAAATTTTATAAATTCTTTACAGATTGTACAGTAATAACACCGCTATTTAAACATTCTTAATATGACTAACCACTGGAAAGTTGCGTGTAATTAAAATTATTATTCCCCGAGTTACAACCTAAAAACAGAATAAATGATTCGATAATGATGTAAACGTGTTTTTTACATTTACATCAATGTCGAATGTAGTCAATGAAGTTATCACCTGACCTATATTACAACGTGTTGAACATCCGTTAACCTATATTTTACTATATAAGGAAATACATAATTTACTGTAAGATCTATTTACTCTTAACTGATATAACTTATCATGTTCTAAATAGTTTTTTGTTTTTTTTTAACAATATTTCTATTGTTAAAGGGGGTGGTAATCTCTAGTTTCTAGACTTTATAAGTACAACTTAAAATATGTAAACAAATTCACATTCTAAAAACAGATTTATAATTTGATATATCGGGGTATGAATGATAAGAAGAATGCTAAAAATAGATCTTAATTGTAGTAAATTCAGAGCAATGTAAAAAATCAATCTTTTGTATTGTACCAGTGCTAGATTTCTGGCCTTATGCTATAACATATGAGGCCTCTTCCTCTACTAAATTACAGATTTAAAAGAGCGAGTTGTCTCATTCCCAGACCCTAAGCCAGGGATGGCTAACTTTTTGATTCCGCGTATCATATAGTGAACATAATTATCTGTAAAAATGTTTATACGTGCCAAAGTTTTGGACTTCGAATAAAGATATTTAAAGAAATAAAATAAATATGCTGCAATTAGAATAAATGTAAAGAAGATAATTGAAAAAGGATAATCAGGTGGATAAACCGAGATCGTACGATACGTTACATGCCAGATAATTTCTCTAGAGTGCCACTTTGGATACGCGTGCCATAGGTTCGCCACCCCCTTCCCTAAGCTGTAGTTTGCTTAGTTTAATTGTACATGAAGCTTTGCTGTATACTTTTAAATTGTGCAGTAGAGTTTTGTTAACAAAAATTCCAATAGATGGCATAGCATTGATTGCAAATGAAACATTCACAGAAAATTCAATAAACTGTTTATAAAATTCAGAGTCGCAACGTTTATCGATGCATAGGCCTACAATTAGTTAAATCTGCTTAATTATATTAACCTAAATATTAAAAAAATGGCAATAGTAAATTGTCATCTAATAATAGACACTACTGACAATAGACAACTGCTTAGAATTGCTTTTTAAGCAACTAGTTCCTGTAAAATTGTGATGATGATAATTATACGTGACATCTTCAATTCAAAACTTCAAAAAATAATTTTTTTTAATAATGTCCTTTGGCGTGTCTTCGATCACAATAAAAAGTAATCTATTGAAAAGTCTTAGAAATTGATCATTAGAATGCATCTCAAGAACGAATTTTTTTATTTTTGTTTACTTTTATTGTTTTTTCTTAAAAAAATTTGACTTTTAGATGATCGAATTTCGGATGGTTTCTGCATCGCAAAAATGTCATCTGTTGCTAAACTTACAATTGTTTTGTTTTCGCGTGATTCTTTATACTTGTACTCTTCTTCATCATCTTTTTTTTTTATCTATCAAAAGAAAATTACAGCAGATAGATTTCCGTCATTAATCACATAAGGATTTTGTTTCCTTGAAGCCATTAGAGAGGAATCAGATAACGGGTCTTTGAAAGATATAGATGACTACAAGTATTATTTTCAGGAACTGCTCTTGGGCAATCACTAAAAGAACATATTGGGTGACTTTTCCTTTCGAACTTTATTGAACATGGATCAATATAAAGATCTCGTTTCTTACCCGGTAAAATTGCTATTTTCAAATCTCAAAATTTGATAAAAGTGAATTCGTAACACGAGTTATCGAAAATCATTGACTGTAAGTTAAGGTAAAAAGTTGTAATATCTGACATTAGATTGAAAAGTTCTTCCAATGCAGCTTCAATTTTTTGAGTAGGTTTTTTTTTTTTATTTGTCAACATATCAAAAACCGCCAACTTCCATTTAATAGATTAGATACGCGCGATTATACGTTTTTTCTTCTCTAACTTCACAGGAAATTTTCAATTTTCATTTTATTTTTGTAAACAAAACATTTTTCTTTGCTGTTCCTTATATACATTCTACTGCAATATGGTTCCATCAACAAATAGTAATTTTTATATATGATTTTTTTTAGTTCTGATATCTGGAGAAATCAACACGAATTAGTCAGTTGAGTGAACTTAACCGCAGGTGAAGACTCATAAAACTGTATTACCGCCATAAAAGGCCAATAGATTGTTGTAAGATGGAGGCTGTTTGCGGTTTAGTTGTAAATCATTTGTTGTTCGCCTTCGACTTCGATCATCCATTTAGCTGTTCAATTATCGCTCGGAACAGACGGAGCGCGACTTTTTACGCTTTTAACAACGATTAATATTTATGACAGCAAAAAAGAGAGTGAATCTTCTTTAATTTTCAAATTTTTATTATTTCCTGTTAAATATTTAATGTTTGCTATCTGAAGATGAGAAATAACACGAAAAAATATATTCAAATCTGTGACTAATCAGCATAACTTATCAATTAATGCATTGGAGCAAATAAATTCTATTCGCACTTATGAATATGAAAAAGTACCATGTGGCTAAATATAATTAAAAAAAAACTTTTCGATGTTTGTAGAAACTAACATAATCAGCAAACATGAAAAAGTTATCTAAAAAAAGTGTATAATTAGACAAATGTCAAGACAGAAGCGGATTGTGTTTACCTACAAACCAAGTAAATATTTTGCTTGTTTTGTGGTTATCGCTTTGTTATTCTATTGGTTCGCAGACATGTCACAAGTCAATGATGCACTTGTCGTGTAACAGCTAATTGTATAGAAGATACCTTCCCTAATGGTTTCTGTTTTTTCCTCCGTTAAATCTCCTATCAGAAAAAAAGGGGTAAAAACATTTTAGCTCTTAACATACCCGCAGCTATAAAGAGTCAATACTCCTTTTTTTTCCTACTTAGTAACTAGTGAGAATTAAAAAACGGACTTAAAAAAATAAGGAAAAAACCTTAAGCATTCAGAATTGAATTTACGTATAAGAACGTCGATATCCACTTTCTCTTTAGAGAGTTGGTTCATCTTAAGTGAAATCAAAAAAATTACCCTGGAAATCGAAACTATAAAATTTCAAATTATTTTTTTTTTATATATATACTATAAAATTTCAAAAATTTGCATTGGTATCCAATATTATTTTGCCTCGTCGACTAAAAAAACGAAATGAAATTTTATCAATTTGAAAAAGAATTTTCAATATTTGTATTAGGGGTAGAAAAGATCGAAAAAAGTGGATTATATAAAAAAAATATTGAAATGTCAATTTTTTACGAGGAGTAAGAATATGCAAATGATATTAAAAATTATTATGATATACTTACTTAGAACTGTAATGACGTAATTTACTGTATATATTTCAGAAGAAGCTGAAGATAAGTCGTAGTGGACTCTACATGTTAATTCTCTTCCATTATCTTTCTCGTATAGCGCTTTGGTAATAGTCAGATCGTATTTTCCTTGATCGGGGAAATAATCAAGTTTATAATGAGTGTCCAAAATGACATCATTGAAGGCAACACTGTATGATTCATTTACAACACTAATCCAGTTATAAGCAGTGTTACTTGTCACAAGAGATGAGCGTGGACGACATTCTAGTTTCACGCTTTCTCCTTCTAGCACATCCTTGTTTTCGATAGTTCTTTGTCCATAACCTGTGCAAAAATAAAAATCAAACTTTAATATAACTATAAAAAAAGAAGAGGAAGAAGATAGAAACATACCCTTCTATAAGAAAACATTCCGTTCAAATTTAATTTAGAAATGAAACAGTAAAATACTTTTCAATTCAGTAATGGAATTTTATCTGAGGATAAGGGTATTGCAACATCTAATCTATTATTTGAAGCGGTTTTATAATAATCGTGTTTTATATTTTTTTAAATAAAAAATAATAATAAATTCTTTTTAAAAATTCATTACTCACAACCCTAACACTAATTAAAAAAGTAAAATACTTGTGTAAACACTTTCTCAATATGCTTAGTTGCATTGAAGAGAATTTTATTAACTTTAATAAAAATCCACGCTCCATCTATTTTTGTAAAAGGGAAGAATGTAATAAAATATGATGTTTTTCTCGTCTGAGATTTCGGAAATGACAGTCAATATTCTCTCGCCTTTTGCCTACCACACGATTGTTTTGTTTGAAAATGTGAAAGCAATGAGATTTTATTTCCTTTTAAAGAGTTGGGAACAAGAATTGTCAAAAAGCTAACCTTTCATTCTTTCACATTTTATGCATGGTTTATTATTTTACTTCGTTTTTGAAATCGTCGTCCATCAAATTTTTGAAGTGGTCGATTTCTTTTTATGAATTTCTGTCTTTCGCATTATGTAAGTACAATAAGAATAAAAGCGAATATAAATTCATATATAAATGAAGAAATTAATTCCTTTCTCTAACAAAAATAAATTAGATCTTTAATTAATCCATCCCTAAACATTTAATTAAGTGCACCTTTACCATACTTTAAATGAAATTAATTTGTGGATCTAAATGACTTTAATATATATTAATTTTTAAATCAATATTGCAAAAAATGAATTAAATTGTTAAATTTACATTTAAAATCATTAAAATGTTTCAATTTGTATATTAAGTAGTTACATTTTAGAAAAATACGGATAGATTTGTTTGTTATCACCATCTTCGTCTTCACCATTTTCGATCCATTGCAAGATGGAGAACTCTTAAGAGTTTTTCATCTAACAACAGATCGAAATACTCAAAATTGATGATGATGATAATGATAATGATGACGATGATTCCAAAATATGAAAATTATCTTCTATATGTATCTTCCATTTTCCAAACGGAAGATGGAGATAGAAGATAAATATTCCTAGAAGTTGTAATCAATTGAATTACGTTATATTCAGAAAATAATGGAAGCATGTAAGCAGCAAGCCTTTTTTACAGCGTAGATTTGTAAAATAAGAAAATCAATTACATTCTAACGAAAAATGATTAGAAAAAAATTCGTAATAATTAATATTTATTCAAGAGTCGCCATTACAAATTCTTGTAATATAACTTCGTTAATGAACAATATACCACTGAAACAATTATCAATTAAAATAAACCAAAAGAATGCATTTAAATTAAGTAAATACTTGGAGATATACTTAAATGACATTAATTTATAACGGTCAATATTAAGTTTAAATACTAATATAAATATATATAACGAATGCGTGAGAGAAATTAGCATTCTTCTAAAAGAGCGTAAGAGAATCGAAAAGTTGTTTTGAAAGACGAAAGAGGTCAAGAGAGAAATTAATTAAATCTACTATTTCCATCAATTAATAACAATCCAAATAATTCATAACATTATTACAAATTTGCATCCAAATTATGTTACAATATTTGAAGAATAAATTTATTTCCAATTGTAGTTTAGTCATAAACAGTTATAACTTAATAGTTTTTGATGAAGTTTAAGTAAAATTCAATTGAATATTTGTATTTTTACATACTTCTTTTTATAAAATAAAAAGTTTTGATAGTTTTTAGCAAAACAATTTTAAACAAATTTACAAAAATGATCTACATACTTTTGAAAAACTATTATTGTAGTAGGAGTAGTAGAGAAAAGATTATATATATATACAAACAGTACTTTTTTTATTCTATCTTCAATTCCTTCAGAATTTCTTTAGTATTCTTTTGAAGGTTTGGATCATCATAGTAGAAAGAACTTCGCGTAACCAAATCAACGCGATGCTGGTGAATGATTTTCTTTCAGTATTCAATTCTCTTGAGATGAGAGGAATGGAGACACGTTATAGACAACATGCATACCAAAGACTTTATCGGACGAAATACATGAAACGGGACGTACACTATTTTTTTTATTTTATTTTTTATTTTTCAATTTTGTCTTTGACAAAATCGCAAAGTTTGATATTATAATGTCATACGTATAACAAACACTTTCGTGATACATAAATTTTTTACGGTTGTCCAGTTCTTATATCGTTTTATCTATTCGAGAATATGGGAATTTATTCAGTAAATTTCAACTGACTTTGAATAATACTAAATTATTTACAAATTACTATTTTTAATATATTTAAGAAATTCCTATTTGAAATGAAATTTAATTATGAATTATTTAAAAAATTGTAAATTATTGAAAGAAAGGTTTACTAATTTTATTCATTGCAAATAAGAAAAAGTTATTACAACTTATTATAAAATGTTCTGCTCAAGAAGAGCTTTCTATTTTATGAGTTCAAAATAAGAGAAAATTATTATAAAACATTGCGCTCCAGAGATTTTCATACATTTTATGCATTTAAAATAAATATAAATTTTAAATAAGTTGTAATGATTTTAAGTTATTGCAAGTAACTTTATGCATTATGAATATGAAAAATGATTATAAATCATCGCAAAAAAAATTCTTGAAAATTTCGTTATTTTTTACTGCATTTCAAAATAACTGAAATTATTACAAAACGATTAGAAAATGTCTTCTGAAATTTCTATTTCGCACATCAAAAGTAAAAAAAAAGAAAAATTAATACAAATTATCGATCATGAATAGCATAAATTTCAAATTCAAAATATTATAAAAGGCGAATTTCTAATAAATTTTTTAAAACTTTATACTCGTATTGTATATACTTTACTATATCTTAGTATATTAATAAGTCATTGCACTTTTCATGAACAGAAACAAGAGTCATTATTGATCGCGTAAGGCAACGTTTCGCTCTCTCTCTCTCTTTTACTCTCTTATTTTCTATTCTACATAAAATATACCTATTAAACATCATTAAAATAGTAGCAGGACCGGTTTTTTTTAAAACATTTCACTACTGTGCACTTTACAATATGTAAATAACTAGCAGCACTTGACAGTAAACAAGTATCGAATATGATAAATATGCGTTGTCAATTGTGTACCAAATAAAGAATGACAGAATCAATATGTAAAAAAAGAAAAAAAAATTAGAATATTTTAATTTCTTATTGTTTCAAGATGCACCTATTCACTTTTTTAAATTAAACAATAGATAATTTTAATTAAAAAAAAAGTGACAAGAAGCGCTCGGAGCTTGACTAGTATTCTATTATTATATTGTAGAGGAATTCCATATGATCGATAAGACTACAATCTTACTGATAATTCTCACACTAAAATTTTAGTTAAAAATGTTTTTATTTTATTTAATCCTTTGTAAATCCCTAATATTAAATGGTCATCATGCGAGTGGAAGTAAATCCTTTACGTCTATCGGGAGCAAAGGATTACCAGATAGAAATGTTTGAAAATGAAAGAGGTTGGTAATACGAGAAGTCGGCAAACATCAATCGCACGTCATAATGTAGGAGATACTTAGATAAGATTTGAATAATTCAGTATATTTTGTTAGTTCAAGAAATACGGAAAATGAATAATATATTAAAGACAGATAACAGCCAGAGTACTTATGAGCAGCTAAGAACCTCACGTTGTCACGTGAATGACATTCACTATCAAACTGTCTGTTTTTGTGAACGTTTTTTACGTCAGGTTATCCATTTCTAACGTAAAAAAAGCACGTAAAGATCTAATGTACTGTATATGTGCTGTACAATCATATACACTTACATATCACAGTTTTATACTTTATAAATTTACTTTTTCTTTCTTAAGAATTTACGGGATAAAAATACTGTAAATTATTAAATTTTTAAGATTTTATTAAATATTTAAGTTATAAGAAGTATAGTAGTATTTATACCTTAAATACTGAATTACCATATTTCTTATTCTAGTATCTACAGTAAAGTTTTTACTATAAATTAATTAATTATACTACTATATTTCTTAGTGTAATGTTTTTACAGTACATTTCATTGTAAATTAAATTATTACATTATAAATTACTATTAATTTTTCTTTAATACCTTTAAAAAGGATCACTTCTTAATTATTTTAAATGTATTTATTCTTCTGGCAATTGAAATATTATAAAACACATTAATTAAACCATTAATTTAAGAAAAAATTAATTACTATCTATCAAAGATTATTATATAAACAGAAATTATTTACATTTCGAGATTTACCTATTCACAAAAATAAAAATGATAGCATTTTGTAGCTAAGAGCTATAAATAACTGGAAAACTAACATTAATTACACAATGCTACTTTTATATATTTAAAATTACTTTCTTACGTGAATACTTTCATTAAAGTTTAAAAATAAAGCGATTTAATTCATTTATTATCCTTTATTTTATTTTATTTTATTTTTTTATTATTGATACTCATAAACGTCACGATTATTATTTTTCACGCCCAGTTGTCATTTTATAACCATTTTCGGGTGTGTTGCAGCTGGAAAAATGGCGTCAATCACTAACATCTGGTAGTCATAACTAATATCGACGTTGGCTGATATCTAGGTGTGGCAGATTTTTCACATTCTATAACATTAAGAACGAACAGATTTGTTCTTTCATCCTGTAATGATCCTACACTAATGATATTACGGATGAAAGACACGAAGCATCATTTCGAAAGAGTTATTTATGAATATGTTTGATGACTATTTTACTGTAATGTGAATATATTAATCAACATCACGGTTTACTTTTCTACTTAACGGAGTAGCAAGTAAATGTTTATATATGTTATATATTTCGCATCACGTAGCATCCGTAGCATCGAAAGTTGTACAGATTTTGGTATCATTTATCATTCAGAAAGCTAAAACACTATTAAATATGTAACCGTA